AGAATGAAAAGAGAAAAAAGTGCAGCAGAGAACCGCGACAGAAAAGACAGACAAGGAAGACCAAAAGGAGCGAGAGCAAAAGCAAAATAGCAGAAGAGAAAGAAAAGAAAGACTAAAAAGAGAAACAACAGAGAACAGAGAAAGAGAGAAGAATGAAAAGAGAAAAAAGTGCAGCAGAGAACCGCGACAGAAAAGACAGACAAGGAAGACCAAAAGGAGCGAGAGCAAAAGCAAAATAGCAGAAGAGAAAGAAAAGAAAGACTAAAAAGAGAAACAACAGAGAACAGAGAAAGACAGGAGGAGGGGGGCAGAGGACACACTCTGCGCTCCCCAGGCCAGCAAGCAAAGAGGTCCCGCGACACAGCAGTTTGGCCTGGCTTGGCTAGTCCCCACGGCCAAGGGCAGGTAGGGGTGCAGGGAGGCACCCCAGGGCTCTCACTCACTGCAGACAGGCACCCTGAACGCAGCCCCGTGTCGCAGAGCAGGGCTGGTGCAGCCGTGCACAGTCCCACCGGGCCGGGAAAGGCCCATGCGTCCCAGTGGCTGGAGCCTGGGCTCCGAGCTGCCACAGCCAGCCCAGAATTTCCATCCCCCCTGATCTGGGGAAAGAACATTTGATGCCATCAAAGGGCTCCAGATTGAAAACAGATGTGCTTCCCCGAGCCTCTCCATGCATTTAATTAAGGCACAGGCATGGAGGAGACATTTTCATCATTAGTTTGCGTTCAGCCCCCCCTCTCCCCCCCCCCTTAGTTTACCCTCTGCAGTCTCAAAGACCCAAATGAACATGCCAGGGCTGTGGGGCTCTGCTGCCCCGGGCAGAGGGGCTGAGCAGATCTGGCTGGTGTTGAGGCAGGAGCAGGGCAGGCTCTGGGGTGAGGCTGTGCGCACACAGAAGTGCGTGGGTGTATATGCACCCAAAACGCTGTGTGCATCTATGCATGCAACAGTGTGCGTGTGCGCCTCACTGCACACTGGTATGCCCCTTTTCTCTGTAGGCCTGTGTCTGAGGGAGCGTGTGTGTGATGTCCTCCTGTATGTGCCCGTGAGTGGGACAGGGAAGGAGCTGTCTCTTCACACGGGTGTGCTGGCCCGCATCTGGCTGGCCCTGATGTGCATCTGCTCAGGTCCTAGCATGCCCGGGAAAGCAAGGGTCTCCAGATTTAGGTGCAGCAGGGTGTGTGCGTGCACAGGTTTCCTTGCTCTGAAGAATGGTTATCTGCACATGCTCCTGGGAGCTGCTCAGCACATGAAATGCCCCCTTTTTCCTAGCCTCTGCCTTTCCCTGGGATTTGGCTGCCTTCCTTCTTGATGAACCTAGTTTTACCCTCTCTCCCTCTTCCCCACTCTCCTTCACATGGATGTCACAACTGACCTGGCTTTTATAACCGGGTGCTAGGGAGTCCTAGCCATTCACATCCCCTTTCCACTGGAGAAGGGGAGTGGAGTCTCCTCTTACAGCCCCAGACAAGCCTCTGCCATGGGGCCTTCTGCTGTCACCCCAGACAACAGAACAAGGGTGCCAGGAAGAAACCTCTGCTGCTTGGTGACTAGGCTTTTCCCAACACCAGCTCCCCAGGGGTTCAAAGTATGTCAGTGCAGTCATCCTCCCTGAATGGTGAAGGTCCAGGCCTCAGAAGACCAGCCAGAGGACTGGCAATGAACCCTTCCCAGCCAACCAGCAGCAGGCAGCCTGT